CCTGCTGGTAAATGATCCCTTGACCTCAAGGGCACGGCCCCTCCTGTGGTAAAAAGCTGTTGCCAAGCACGTCCTGCTCTTTGGTTGGGTTTGTAGTCCTGTCCCTGTAGTCTGATGAGGAAAATCCCTTGTTTAACGTCTTCCCCTGTCTGGAACTTGTCACCCGAAGGAGTCCTGGGCATGGGAGCATTTTCCCACAAGGATGGAGTTCACCCATGGCCTTGCATGGAATGGAGATGTGAGGCAAAGCAGCTGTCCTCGTATCTTCTCCAGGGATGGAGAACTTACGCTTAATACTTCCCAGGCTAAACTTGGTCCCTTGCTGGAGGTATTTAAAACCACAGCAGGAGTAAGGTTTCCCTGCAAGGATGCTGGATACTTTGAGACAACATTTTCACAATCTCCCTTGCATGTGAATGTACCTTTGATTTTGATTGAAAAGCCATATCCGTGAGCATCTACCTTTGGATGCTGGATCAAACTTTGCCTGATTTCTAGTCTTTTAAAAACCTGAATCATGCTGGGTGTCTGTAATGAAGTACAGCCAAGTTGTCTTGAAAAGTAGAGTGTATTTGACGACAGAGCAAGACAAAATGTTCCAACTATGACATAACACACCCCCTGCTTGCTCAGTGCATGGCAGCTCTTCAGCTTCTTGGTTGTAAAATCCAAACCTTTCGTGCTATATCCTTCATGACTCGTTTGTTTAGCATGTCAGCCAGCATTGAGGCACAGTCTGTAGCCGAGTTGTGGGTCTGGTTGGGCCGTGGCGCTTCTGTTGCTTGGTGGAGGTCTTCAGGTCTTCTGGAAGATGTGTGGAAAAGGCAGCAGGTGGAGAGATATTTTTGGGAGGACTGTGTTAGTAGGGGTAAGTTTGGTGGTTGGTAAGGCTGAGGAAGGTCTTTTATTGAAATGGCAGAACAGCTGAGTAGAAGTGGGCCATAAAAAGGAAGACCACGTGTCTCTAGGGTGTGTGCAGTGACCTCTGTATTTGGGAAGAAGGGTGTTCTCTACACACACACAGAATGGAGATTGTTATAGATGGGCTTATAATTGTTGTTTTAAGTTAATATCCTGTGTCTTCTCTGTTACTGTGTAAAGCACATTTTTTTTGTCCAGTTTTGATTGTTATTTATTTTTTTTTCCCCATCCTTTCCCCCCACACCCTTTTGTTTTTCCTGTTGTAGGAGCTGGTCATCATGGGGGCACCGGGATCTTATTATTGGACAGGAACTGTCAAAGTGCTGAATCTCACTGATAACACATACTACAAGCTGAACGATGATGCTGTGATAGCCAGGCGGTACACGTACCTTGGTAAGCAGCTCTCTCGTGCTCACTGTGAGAGTGGATTAGTCCAATGAAATATTTCAAGGCTTTGATGCTATAAAGTTGATACTGAAATTTTTTTGGGGGGTATTGTAGAGTATTTTTGTGAAAAGTGTGAAAGGAAGAACATCTGAATTAAAGAGTTACCTACCTGGAAAGAATTATAAGCAAAGAAACAGCCAGAATATTCCATTTTTGTTTGCTTGTTTTAAAAAACCCCACTTTATTATAATTTTTTTGACTAATATAGAAAATACGTTTTGACCAAAAAGCAGGTTGGATGGTAGTGAGCCTCCTACATTCCTCTTTTTGCCCTGTGATGGACAAATTATTTGTCATTGGTTAGGCTGTGTGTGTGCTTACACCTGCCTTCAAAATGGATACAACACATAATTACAGAATGTATGTTGCAGATACAAATTTCTTTCAACAAAAATAACACCATGTGAGTGAGTCATTGGCAACAGAAGGAGTTTGTGAAAGAATTGGCTATAGGTTTGAGTATGTCTTTAGTTCAGTTGGTTTTACTTGCTCTAAGACCAGCATGTCCCAGATAAACTTAATTTAAAGGCTTCCACCTAATCCCCAGTGGCTAAGAATGTTGAGCCCTAGAAGGCATTTCAAACAGTTTGATATTGTTTGACTAAGGACTCGCACTGACCTTTTTTTCTGCTTAACCTTTAGTCTTTTAAAAAATACTACTTGGAAGATGCTGCTTGGCGATAGCTAAATGAGGACTGTATATATACATATTTAAGGACCTAAGTAGGCTTTGCCACTGATAGACCTGAATTATAGTGTTTAGCATGTAGACAAGAATCTCATAATTTACAGCAGAAGAGCAAGGCAAATGCAAGACAGCCTTAGAAGGAAAACACTCTTCCTTAGTTATTATATATCATTTTAATATATCAGGAGTGAATCTTTGATCTCCTTCTTTCAAATGTACTCTTTCTTCTTTTGATCTATCTTCCCATTTTGCTTCTTGCCTAAACAAAAATCTTTTTAAGCCATTAACTTCTCTGACCTCTTTGCCTACTGTCCTCCGCCTTCCCCCCAACCAAAAAGACACGTAATTTTCCAAGCCTTCCTGGGCAGTGATTTTAGCCGAAGGAGGATACTTCTGTCTGGTCAATGTGAGACTGTCATTATCCAATGTGATACTTTCTCTGCGATGATGTGGTTTCATTGCTCTGTTTGTGTGTGCCTGTTCCTGTTTTACTGCATCCCTTTCTGGACTTGCAGTTACCAAACTGCTCCCCGTACCTGCTTCACGCGTCCTTTGCCAAGCTACACACACGCCCTTTCCTTCTCTCAGCTTTTGGAAGAGTGTTGGAGGGCATACTGGTTTTTCTTGCTTCCATGGGCTCTTGAGCTGAATATTGGAGCATCCTGGGCCAGTATATTCAGATATTCAAAATACATATATTCAGAAATATTCAGAACGGTTACTGAACACCAACAATGTGCAGCCCAGGAGGAGCGGTGAAACCCACTGAGGATGATCCACCTGGCTGACCCTGTTTCTCAGACTCTTTCCTTTTGTGACGCTGTATTTATTTATTTATTTATTTATTTATTTATTTATTTATTTATTTATCTATCTATTTCCTCTCTCCTCTCCCACCCCATCTCCCACTCAGGATACGCGGTGACAGCAGGTCATTTCTCGCAGCCGACTACCACGGACATTGTAGGAGGAGCTCCCCAGGATGGAGGCATCGGAAAGGTGCAGCTTTTTGTCAAACAGTAATGTTTGGTCGAATGCAACAGCGTGGAAAAATGTGATATTGGTGCAGTTCCCACGTGTCTGAATAGGCAAGAGATTTTTGCCTACAGGGTAGTTTTGGAGCACTGTGCAGGGGAGAGGTGAGGTAGTTGGAAGCCGTCTGGATCTGCTTTTCACCCTCTTTCTTCAAAATCTGATTGTTTCAGAGCCTGCTGCCACCATGTGCTTGAGCAGAGATGTCCTGCATCCCCCTTCCATCTTCCCTCTGGCTCTCCCGCTACAACATCAGTTGTAGCTGAGTCATAACAACAAGGAGTGAGAGGTCTGCATTGCCAGCAACACTATCCCTTGGTTTAAGCAGATTTTTTTTGGCAGTAACAGTGTCCCAAGGGGTAACAGTGCAAATGGAGAGAATGAAAAAAAGTAGAGGATGAACTTGGTACATATACCTGATCTGATGTGACTAAAACATACAGGACATAGCAGCAGCACAACTGCTATTGAGATGTATATGAGAAAGGCATAGTTTTCTTATCCCAGGTACTCTGTTACGACTGCTCCAATGCACCTTCCTTCCAACCTGTTTTCTCCGTGGAACAGATTTAATTTCTGTACGAGCAGGGGGTAAAAACAGCTACTAAGATGAGATCCATGAGAAAGCAGCTAGCTCTGTAATTTAAAGACTCTTCCTCCAGTTGCAAAAGCTCGCGTTATTCTCCCTTGGCGTGGGACGTGGGTAGTGAACGCATGGCAAAGGGCCAGTAAGAGGTGTTGAGTACAGGACATTATGCTAAGCAGCCCAGTTGTGCTGTCCACACTCTCTAATAAGCTAATCCTTTCCACTTCCCTGACTGAAAGTGATTAGCATTGTCTCACTCTTTTCACTGAAGGTAAAGCCAAGACACTTAATGAGACTGAGTCATTTCTCCAAAGTCACCAGGAGTGTCATTAGTAAGACTGAGTTTGGAGTTGCGACACCTGGCAACGTGATCTCACTGCTAAGTGTGCCACTGCCAGACTTGAAGAGTCCTTTATATCTAGAGCAATTCTTCATAGTAAATCTGTCCTATGTTCTTGGCTGAAAACAGCTTTGAACTCTGTCTCACCGCCTATTAATAACTCGCCACATATTCAACTATGTCAAGTGCTTGGCTCTGCCACGTGGCCTTGGAAGTAAGGGATCCTCTGTCCTGCAAACTGCCTGAGCACCTGCTAGGAGGGAGCCTGACAAATGCTGAAGCAGTCTCAAACACTGCCTGAGCCAGCCTTTCTGTCAAAGAGAGTCTCTTTCTACAAGCCTTGTGTGTTAGGTCTTAAATTTTGGTACAAGATGTGTTACTGAACTTGCATCAATACTATTACCCCCAAGAGTTTTTGGTAAGACAGTTTCTCCGGTAGAAATGAGCAATGGGTGGACAATGCTTTAATAGTTTTCTGATTTACAGATTGTTTTGGACAGAAATGGCACAAATGCCTTGGGTGGTCCAATTGGGATTTTTACTCTGACCTTTGCTAAAGCATCGTGAAGTTTGCAGTGCAGGACGTGCAAGCATGTGTCCCTGAAAGGGAAGGCTGGATAAGCCAAGGGGAACAGGGTCATGCCTTCTGAGAGTTTTGCCCTGCTCATTTCCAGGCAGTCTCCAGATGCCACTTGTTTGAGAGCTGGAAAGTTCCTTTAGCAGGCGCTTTTAGATACTCACGTGTGCACATGCGCCCATGTACCAAAAAAGTGGGCGACAAGATACTATTCAAGCATGTTTTGTGATAAGAGGCCAGTGATTCATCAGGCAAATGGGGAACTCTGTTTTGTCTCTTAAAAGAAGACTGAGCAATAAAGTGCTCTTGAAATTGGATCTTGGGAATAGCCATGGCCATGATCATGATTTAGATACACTGAGAAAGCACCAATGCTGTACCACTATGTGCTTCGTAGTTAGTATTGGTTAACTTTTTTCTTTTTTCGCTTTTCAGGTTTATATTTTCAGAACAGATAGACGATCAGGCTCGCTAATAAAGATTTTTCAGGCTTCAGGAAAAAAGGTGAGCTTTTATATACATGTGTTTTCTTTTAAGAAGTAGAGAAGGGGGAAATAATGGCAGGGTCATCTCAGAGCATCATTTTCATTCCACTGTTTCATGAATTGTCAAGAAAATTCTTTTTCTTTTCGTCTTTCCAGAAGAGCTAACCCTATTGTACAGACCAGCCATATGCCCTTTCTCCTGTAGTGGTCATGGCTGCATTGTCTGCTCAATGCCCATGTGGCTGAAATTAAAGGTCTTGCTGGAAATTGTATTAGTGGTTCTCTTCAGCCTTACACAAGTGTAGCAGCAGTTTCTGCTGTTGCCTTCTGAGGCGTGGGACATGGGGTGCCAGATGAGCCTAGACACAGAGATTTCCTTGTAGTAGGTGTTGCTGGGAGAAGTGGATACCCTGGAGCTTAGTTTCATACACAAAGCCCCAGTCTGTCTTTCTGTGTCCTGCTGTGATGGAGAGGATATTGGAGTTGCTGTTTTGGGGAGGAGCAGCCTCATTGCCTCAAGAGATGGTGATTTCTGCCTTCTCACCATGAATCAGTCCTACATTTCGATCGTAGGATTTCTGTCCTAGAGCTGACCCTTTCCTCCCGCCCCCATGAAATGCAGTGAATGCTAGTGAGATCCAGCTCCCTCATGCCATGTTGTGTTTGAGTGGGGACCAGCTTGTGTTCTTTACTGAGGGCTTGCTGGAGATGTGTCACAGGAAACAAAGTGGACAGTATATCTAACCATAGGCAATAACAAAAAGGTGTCTTATTTGAGAATAATGCAGTGAGGAAACAATACCCCTCACCTGGTGTTGCCTGTGTTCCCCTGGAAGGAGAGAAAATACAGAAGAAAAAGGTTACTGGTGGCTTCTGGCTCTAGGAAGGCCTGCCACCCTCAGAAGGCTCTAAAGTGTTTGACTGTATCATCAAGTTGGGAGTGCTAGCATGTTTTGTTTTTGTTTTTGTTTTTTTTCCCAACAAAATGCAGTTGCAGTCTTAAAGAGCATGCCTGGAATAGGGGAAAACTACAAGATTGTGTAGGTGGATGGTGTGACTTGTATTTTAGGGCCTCTCCAAAATTTGTCTTTCTCTGCACTAGCAGAATTGTAGACATTTTGAAAGGAAAAGACCTTCCAGTTCATCCAGGGCATCTCCTGTGTTTGATTGCTTCCTGTTCATTTCTTTCCCTGTTGACTTTTAAATGTCCCTGAGGATGTGCTCCTGGAGAACTATTCCTCAGCCTAATAAACAGAGCTATCAGGAAGTTTCTAGGTCTCAGCCAAGAACTTTTCTTTTTCAATTTAATTGCATTTTTCTTGTATGTAACTTAACTAATCAAGTATTTCAACTATATCAAGTACATCCTTCAAGTACTTCTAGGCTCTCATCTCCTCCTTCCCCATTAGAATCTGTCTTCTACAAATTCTCTGGAATCCAAATGAGAATTTCATTTTAAAGAGAAGGCTGTCCTAAATCACCCTTTCTTTGTTTGGTGATTGAAATATAACCAGACGTGCTCAGCAGTGAGCACTGCCTGGAAATGAGCTCTCGCAAAACGCTGCGTCCTTCCCAGTGGTGTGAGAGTTCACTGCTCTGACATTCTTGTTAGACAGATGTTAAAAGCAGGCCAGTTTCCTCGTTCCCTGTTTTATTGCTGGAGGCTGAACTAGGAAATCAAATGCAGACAAGAAAAAAGAAAAGGCAGTGCCTTGTTCCAAATGGTAAGTGCACAAACTTCAGGTTCTCACAGCACGGTGAACGCACCTACGCTGCAGTCGTGCCGTGTTGCAGTTAAGTATATAATAGCCTTTCCCTGAAAACTGGATACGTAGTGAAATGCTTTTCATAACTCTCACTCCTTACCCATGAGAAATCTGTTTTAAAACCTTAGTGGATTAAAAAAAAAATAAACAGATAAAAAACCCACAAGGGAACTTAAGCTACAAAATAACTGGAATCAAATGATGTTTGAGGTCTGACCTTAAACCCACGCAAACACAAAAATCTGAATTACAAACTGAAACTCTATCCTTAACTCACCCCACTGTATATATTTAGCAGCTTTTAAATGTTACGGACTGCACAGAGTAGAGTTGCTGCTGCCCATCTCCTGGCATGCCTGGTAGCTCCGGCTCGTGCGTCGGAACTTACCAGGCGTGGAAGGCAGCGGGTCAGAGATCTGCCATGAGGAGTTGTAGCAGCATGCAAGAAATGTGATTCATTCTTTTTAACCTAAATAGTTATTTATGTAACCTCATTTTTTCCTACTATGTAAACAGCTCTCAATTTCAAACAAGAAGTAGTGTATTTCCAATTTTCCTGTAGAAGTTGCTTTTAATTTTGGGACTACGGTTTGTAGTTGGTCTCAAAGAGTATGCCTTGTGGTGCCTTAGCAGAATTGGATGAAATAAGGGTGGAATATTGTTCTTGCTTTCGGTTTCCTTTTTGTGTTTAAATGTGGTTTGAAATTTGTGATGTGGGTGCTGGTTGGGAGATTGTCAGCGTTTAATGTTAACCCGTATCAAAAATTATGTAATGAAATTAATGTATTTCTTAAATCTAAGCAATTAAGTTTTATCGAGCGATAATAACTGGAGATTGAAAGTGGCTTAGTTTTTTTGTGTATCAACTGAAAAGCTTTTATTCAAAGTTTTCTCTCTGTGTCAGCTCACCTGCCTGTACCTGAGAGGAAAGGCTATGACCAAAACCCACAAGCAGTATTGTTGTTTGAAGGTGGCTGATACAAATAGATACCATTAGAACAGGGGAAGATAGTCCATAATCAAGAGGTGGTTTTAGATGCCTCTTTTCATGGATACCCTGCTCCTTGCTTATTTTTCTTTTTTATTTTCTTTATTTCTGTAAGCTATCCTCCGAATATCTGTGGTACTCAACTTCAAGTCTCTTTAGGAATTTTGGCCCTGGGCATATGAATAATCACTAGCCAGGTCTTGGTTTGGGAAACTTATTTCGCCCCTTCCTGGTCTTAAGCATTTGACAAGTGAAAGCTAGTCTAAGAAAGCTGATTAAATGTCTCACTTAAGCATGTCCCAGAGTATAAACTCTATTCTGTTGGTAAAACATCCAAGCTGATGCACTGTTACAGTGAAGTGTTTAATTCCTGTCGGATTTATCCCTGAAGCTTTCTCTGTAGGAGCGCTTGTGAGTGATAAACAGCAAGTCATCATTTGACATTTAAGAAAAGAAACACGCCTAAATGATTTCCTCCTGTGTGTGGGCAGATACTGAATGCTTTGTTGTGACTCGGCTTGGTTACAGATGGGCTCTTACTTTGGCTCCTCCTTATGTGCAGTTGATCTGAACTCTGACGGGTTGTCAGACCTGCTGGTCGGAGCACCTATGTTTTCTGAGATCAGAGATGAAGGTCAAGTCACAGTCTATATCAACAGAGGAAACGTGAGTATGTACAGGAGATGACTTGGTGAGGGATGAGGGTGTGGGTAACGCGAGTGTCTTCCCAGCACTGCGTGGTGAAACTCGGTGTCTCAAATAGTAGGGCTCTGGATGTCTCTCGCAGAGCATGAAGTCACGGAAAACTCATCTGGTATCATGGTTTCCCAGACACCAGCCCACATTCGTCACAGAGCTGTGAATCTTTCGAGGAGGTCTGGGAAAGTTTCTGGTTTTATGTTGAAACTTGATGGTGTTTGTGGCTTTTCATAAATTTGATGCCAAAACCAAGTAAAAGTCAACAGCTTTGACTGAGTTTTCCTTTGTGTTTTGGGTGGTCACTGGGACCTACACATCAGAACAAAAATGCCTGGGTTTTTAGAAGTCCTTGTGAAGAGAAGGCAGAGGTTGAATTCACTTTATCCTTACATTATGCCCCATATATAGCCTGTAGTGGGAAGTTCTTATCAGTTGGTACTGTTGGATTTCACATGACCCAACAGCAGTCTTGGAAAAGTCTAAACTTTCTTGCATTGGCAAAACAAGATATTCTTATGTTATACTTACAGGAAAACAATGATTGTTTATCTATTACTATGTATTTAATATTCAGGTGTCAAACCTGCTGTCTCAAAGTTGGAGTTGTTATGGACTAAAAGCAAATTGCTTTGCTTCATCAGTATCTTGTGAACATTAATGTATGGAATTTGTTTATGCTAGACTTAACATTCATCACAAGTCCTACAGGCAGCATTTGGCAGACTTCAGAATTGCTTTTGGTGTAATTTTATTTTCTATTATCACTGCTCCTTTAAACGAGCTTTACTTTTTCAGCTTCTTGATCCACAGGCTGTTCTGCTTCTTACATTGCAGTGTTGCTGCTGGGCCCTCAGGATGGGGTCCACAACACCAAGCAGATAATATCTAATATTTCCTGCTCGCAGTGAGAGGACGCATGAGTTCGTTTTTATCTTTTATAAAACAGTCAAGAAGCTAGTAGGAGTTTCTTATAGTCCTGCAGCAAGAACTACTTGCTGGATTGTGGGTTTTGTTTTGGGGTTTGGTCATTTTAGACTCTGTTTCATTTGTGAGCACCGTTGCTTAAGAGGCCGTTGCAGCAGATTGGAGAAAACTGCGTTACAATGCAAACATGTATAGTGATGCTAGATTTCATACACTTATATTTTGCCCTTTCCTGTGAGGACTGCAAAGAAATGAGTCGCACACACAGGCCTGCCTGTCTCCTCTCTGTTGTGTTTCGATTTCATTATGTGGGATTTTCGTAAAGTCAGCAGCTCCCCGCAGCCAAGAAAAAGATTTTATTACATGTTCCAGAGGGCAGTTTACTCTCATTCACAAAGGAAGCAAAAGCAAAACAAAATAACCCTTGAGGTGGGTACAGTTGGATTGCGTAACTAAATTTTGTTTTCTTGTGGAAATGTTCCTTTTCCCTTGAGGGAAGACTGCAAGAAACTAAAGCTTATGTATCTGACCAGAAAGTGGGTGGGCAAGAAATACCAGATCCATATAAGGCTTCTCGTGGCATTGGAGTACAAAGCTACTTTATTCTGAACTTTCCTCTGTCTCTTTATTTCATTAAATCTCTTTCCTTTTTCTTCATTTCAGAAGGCTTTTTGAGGACTTTGCTTTAATCTTTCTGTCCAATACTTAAAAAGTTTTCAAGTCCAATTGCCCAAATGTTCTTTGCTTAGGGGAAGATTCTCCTTAACTTACTGGAGTTTAGCTGAATAAGCCTGGACTGAGGATTTCACTCCTCTAACGTAATCTGCCAGCAGAGCAAGCTCTGGGCTGTTACCTTTTACATATCTGGAAACCTTCAGGAGCTCACCGAGCCCCGCGACTGCATTTAGTTACATTATTGAGTTATCATTTAGTTAATTTAGCATTTTAGTTATATGACTCATGCACTCCTTCCCTCCCCTTAAAACTAAAAGACAGAAGGTTAAAAACCTAAATAAATTAGATTTCTAGTGCCCAGGTGATCTGTGTGCAGTGAGGGCAAGAGTCAGGCTGCAGCCCTGCCCCAGGTGCTTCCCACAGCGCGTGGGTGGCTCCCATGGGGAAGGCTCACCTTGTCCAGGGCTCGCACCCTTTCCCTGATCCTGTTTTATTTCCTGCTTGCTAGGGAGTGCTGGAAGAGCAGCTTGTCCTGGATGGTGACGGTGCCTACAACGCGCACTTTGGGGAGAGCATGGCTGCCCTCGGCGACATTGATGACGATGGCTTCCCAGGTTGGTGTGATTTCCTCCAGGACTGTTTCTCTGGGAATGCCAGCAGGGCTGGCTGGGTGCCATGTGACATCCATTTCTCCTCTGGACCTGACCAGCACCTGGGCTTGTGCAAAGAATAAATTTGCTTGCACAGGATTTGTCTGCTAAAGCCTTTTGTAGCTTATTGTCCTCGTTGTGAGCTTAGTCCACATCCACGCAACTTGCACCCCAATCTCATTAACGTTGCTTTGCTTTCCTTCTAGCACGTTCTTCCCTATCTGGTTTACAAAAGGCTTTAGCAAGACAGAAATGTATGTCTGACTTTCATATGTCTTCAAGCCTTTCCAGTTTTGTTGACATAATCACATTTCTTATCATGAAGTGTAATTAAGAAGTAGCTTCTCACTCCTGATAATGTTGTGTACTCTATCAATAATGTCTCTCATTCGCTTTATTCTACCCCTGCTCCTCTCACAGCTGCTCAGTGGGAGGCCCCATGCTGTGATAGCAATAGGTGAGAGCAAAGTGTTGATGCTGGCACCTTTTCTGCTCTGATTTCTGGCAGCGCAGATTAAGGACTTCCAAACAAAGGCTGACTTACTCCATGCGTGCCTGGATTTATTTCTTCCAGGCCACTCGGTGTGGTATCCCGTTAAGCCTAACTCAACCTCATTGCAGGTTGCCCTCACAAATGGTGGGCATGTACTTCCTCTGCGCTTGGACGTGCGTTTGTGCATTCTTGCTGCTGCTTGTGGGTCAGGTGTGGTGAAGGAGAGACTGCAGAGTGAGTTGGATCAGTCCATGGGTATGAAGCCGTTGGGAAGAGTTTAATTTTAGCAGCTGTGTTGTCACTAGATTCAACTAGAAAAGGAGAATGGGAGGTGGGATCACTCTGCAGGAGTTTTCAGTTAAATTGGATCAAATGCAATTTGAAAGTGCACCCTTGGCAGCCTTTTTTTCTTCCTGCCTATCCATTTAATATACCCAGCCTCATTTTGGAGCCTTGAATTTTGGAGCAAATGTAATGTAGTGCAACAATAATTGTTTTGCCAATGCTGTCTTTGTTCACAAAGCTGATGTTCCCCTGGGTTGGAGATGTTGATATGAAAGGATTCTAAATTAACATTTTGAGCATGGTTGCTGGTTAATAAACACACGTTTTCATAACGAGCACGTGTTTCTGATTAGGCACAACATAGCCGCATGCGTGTACGAATTCATGTACATTGTGTAGTTTTTTTTAAGTTTATCTTAACATGAGCTCTTCATTAAATCAGACAAGTTTTTCTAGCCAGATTGACAGGAACTGCTGATCTTCTTCATCATGGGGAGCTATTTTCCTATGGAAAGCTGGCTTCTAAAATTATGAAAAAACTGGGTTAATGGAATGGGTTGTGAAATGTTTATAATCTGTACTGTTTTACAGATGTTGCCATTGGGGCGCCTAAGGAGGATAATTACGTGGGAGCGGTGTACATTTATCATGGGGATGCCAATGGAATTGTACATCAGTACTCTATGGTACGTGGCACTATCATTTACGATACCCGTCTGAAGTGACTTTCCTGAGGCCTGCAGAAATAAACCAAAGAAGGGCTAGGGTCCCTTTATAGGTGGCCTCATCATAGCTCTATATCCTTTTCTCAGTCCTAGTTTGAAAATGGCTTCTCTCAAACTTTGTACATATCTGTGCTGTAGGGTGTAATTATGTTAATAAGGAGAGATTTTTCACTGTCTTTTGTTAGAGTTACCAGCTGTAGCTTTTTTCTTGAAGCAAATGAAGTCTTGGGTTCGATTGTCAGGTTTTAGAGATAGTAGTGCTGCAGAGGAGAAATGAAAACCCTGGAGAGGTTGAGCATACAAATTATGCAGAGGCAAGTTGGGAGGCTGCTCCTTCTTCCTGCAGAAGCAGGCTTAACAAGGAGGAAGAGGTACTAAGTTTTCTGTGGTTCCTTGCAGAAGCCTCTTTACCCATCTTGCTGGCCCTCTCCTTGTGATGTGACAACATATCACAAGGCTGTTCTTGAGTGCCATTCCCCTGACCGTTGCCGTGAAGTAAAAACTCAGCTGGGGTTATGCTGTAGCATCTTGTGCAAAGATGACACACTGCAGTTTAGCTACTGTGGCCAGGCAGCAGACACGATAAATTGATGCTGATGCTGCCTCACATGTGTCCGCTGGTCTCTGTCTAGCACATTTCTTTTTGTCAGAGAGCCTGAATCTTCCCTCCCTCCGTGTGTTTGAAGTTCTGGCTGTTTTGTTTTGTTGCTGGGTGGGATCCTTCACAGTAAATCAGTTTAAGCAGAATTAAAGAGTTTAGTGGTTATATTGGAGACTCTTCTAACAGACTGTAGAAATTTAGTCCTCCTACTTTTGACCATGTATATGCCATGCACCACTTTTTAGAAAAAAAGGAAGTTAAATGACTCTCTATGGATACTTCTAAAATGCGCTTGTGTGTGGCATGTGGATGATTCTGCCTGTTTCTTGCTGAGAGCCACTGGTTGGGAGGCTCTTCTCTGGCTGTTCAAAAGCTTGGAGCTTTCCAGCTCTTGCTGAAAAGGATCAGATTTTTTTTTTTTTTTTTTTTGAGCATTCATGAGAAAACGTAACATTTTTGAAAGAGACCGGATCAGCAGGGTGGGAAGTGAAACATCCTGCTTGTGATCTCTCCCTCCACGTTGGAGCAAGGCCGTCAGGCATGGGGTGGGTGTGCCTCTGTGCTTGGTCAGTGGGACAAAGTCCAGCTCAAGAGGGTGGCAGGATACTGTGGTCCTTGACTCTTGAT